GGCGGCGCGCGGGGTAACGGTCATTAGGGCCGTGACGGCGGCGGTTGGGCCCCCTGCGCGTGGGGTGGCGGCGAGTTTGGCCCCCTCGCCCCCGGAGGGTTTTAGGGCGCCGCACATGGGGTCCCCTCCCCCGCAGTGCCAGTGCCCCCGCCTCGCTGGCCCTGTCCAGAAGGAAGGAATTTAAACGCATGCTCCTGCAGAGAAAATGTTATCTGTATATTATAAATATTATATATATATATATATTTCTTTTAAGTTACGTGTTACCACCTGCCRCGGTGCCTCACCTATGTTTTATATAGGTGCCTCAGGAACCACCACCTCCTATGGTGGTGGGCACCAGGAATGGGAGGCTGGAGCATCCTGGTGACAAAACAACCGGGGAGGTGGGTGACAGAGGTAAGTACACAAGCCGTGTTCCTAACCCCACACCTCGTCCTCGTTTGAGACGCTGTTTTGTATTGAAYGTATTATGGTGAAAGGATATTTTGAAGTCGCTGTTGCTTGTCTCGCTAGCCCAGTACTTGTGGTATGTACTTGAGTAGATTGCCTGTGTTTCAGTGTACCAGGAAGAATGAAATCTGTGCTCTTCCCCTTGGGTGTTTCTGAGCAGTGAGGCTCTGTATTGAGTCTGACTCAGAGGTCTTCTCTTCAGAAATGTTTATGAAGTGCTGTGTTGTTCTGTAGGGCTGTGTGGTTTATAATCACTTTTTATTTTTCCACTGTAACTTAGCTCTCATCGAGAGAGGGAAATGATCACTAATTCAGYACGGCAGTATCTAAGATTTAAAAAGTAAGCTGCAGAGTTACACTGAGATTATGGCAGCATTTTCTCTTTCTGAGAGAGGAAAAAAAAAGATATAAAAAGTCCATATATATAAGCATTAAATATTTTAAGTATTAAATAATATAAGTATTATTTTATTTGCTTAGTTTATGTGAACTGATTTCACACCATGTTTGTGTTCTGTAGGTATTGATGACAACATGTATTAACATTCTTAACATGTATTGAAACAGTTCTAACTCAATATAAATATAAGATACATTTTAGTAGTTGAGAAGTCAAGGAGAAGCTGATTAAAAGAAGGGAAAAGAAATATGCCTGTTGATCAGGTTATCAGCTGCAGAAAACTTAAGATCACATGCTTCCTATATCTAATTATGAGAGCTGGAGTCTCTCCCCTTGTTTAAATACCCTCAATATCTCACAGGAACAGCATTTTTTTTTTCAGAAAATGCTATTTAAATTACAATCTTAGTATTTTGCACAATTATATCGTGTTCTATTTCCTATGGTATTCTGGTCGCATCCTAAATCAAAAAACAAACAGATGTCCTGGGTTTAGAGTTTGAGTAAATTTTTTACCCTAAAACCAAAACAAAAAACATACATCAGAATAAACATATTCACATAGATGGGCCTGCTGAGTAATATCAGAACACATGTTCTGTGTTGCATGACCTACACAGAARTTGTCTGTGTAGGCCAGTTGATTACAGGAACAAGGCAACTTGAAAGCATAGGATCTGTYCCTGATTTGTTGAGTGATAAACACATTCACTAGCCCTGTCAAGCAGCCCCAGAGATTTCATACCATGATATTACTGATAGGAAATTACAGATGCAATTATCTTTGCAAATTCATCTGAAGATCCTAGCCTTTGTTTGTCCGGGAGTGATAATAAATTTTATCTACCTATTTTGTTGGAGAAACAGTACTGTGTGAAGGAATTGGCAAACATTTCAGTGCTATTTATAAAATACAAAGCAAACAAACAAAAACTATATCTAATGTTTTCTTTCCTAAGTAAACTAATTATGTATTGATTCATATATTTTGTGTTGTGACAGTATTTAGCTGTCAGACAGTATGACACATTTAGACCAAAAGAATCCCAAGATGGAAAAACAACTGCCAAGCAACATCACAAAATACCTTTAAAAGATACATTCACTGACTCTGATTTTGTACATTTCAAATACAGACCATTATTATAGTCATAAAAAAAATTATTTAAGCTTCTTAGARCAAAATGTTATTGAATGGGCATAATCATTCTCAAATGATCCGTGCTGCTAGCAGTTCTCATAATGTACCATGTACAGCACGAGAAAGATCAGCTTTCCTTTCTCTGTATTGAGCAACTCCAACTGTTAAGCAGCACTGGACAGATACCTCTGTACACTTCAGTTGCTGCTTTGTGCCACTTAAACAAACCTAAGGAGTTGCAAACATTTATGAAGCCAGTTAAACAGGGCTTACAAGTAGTTTATACTACAGGCATGCTGTAAAGAAGCTGAAGCATACTGGTTTACTTAGCCTAGTGTCCTCTGCTCAGATGTCACCTTCCCTTTCTTGTGATTTCAGTATAATCATTAGTACTTTCTGATACTTTATTGCTTTTCTAATTATTGAACTTGCATTTAATTTCATGTCTAACTTCGCATACATGTATAAAACGTATATTTCAGTATCTCTACAAGGCCTGGTATAGCCTTTGGTTATATGGTCAATATGGTATATATTTGAGCTCATTTTATAGCAGCTGACAGTGATGTAGGTGAGGAGGGGAAAAAAAAGGAGGACTCCCATTCTAGCCAGTAAGGTTCCTTGTGTTACTGAGCTTCATTATCTGCATTTCTGAAGTGTAAAATAAGACATGCAGTTTCACTCTCTTGGAGAAGCAAGGATGCATATATTAGTTACAAGTAAAAATATGTAATTTAAAAGAGCAAGCCCACTAATGAATAAACTTATTCATTTGTCCTTCTCACTGYTTGGGAAGAACCTAAACAAAGTCTGCAGATCAACCTAGAATAACAAACTCTAATTTGACAGAATTTTTTTTTTTCCTACTTTAGCAATGTTGTTAAAGTTGTTACACCAGTGTTGTTGTTTTATTAGCTTTRAAAAAAAAAGTGATACTTATATAGTTTTCTCATTCTTGAATTTCTGGTTTGGTACATGATGTGATGCACGCCTCCTAGAATCCTGTCCGCTGCAGCTTCCCGTTTTCTAGGGGCACACTCAATCTCACCAGGGAGGTTTGCTGACCTTTGCTGTGACCTTCCCTGAGCAGAGCTCTATTTTATCTTTCTGTTAGGCTTTTCACGTCCCTTCCTAACTGCCCATCCCCTTCTCTCAGACACACACACACACGTATGAATTAAAAGCTTTATAGCCCATTTGTGGTGCTTGATTTACGTCAGCGCTGTATTCCTGCTCTCCCTGCAGCTTCGCTGAAGTGACGCAAGGTTGGGAGTGACTGAGGTTAGTGAACGAGGGTAGAAGGGGAGGTCAGCAGTGCCTCAGGATCAAATAGCTCTTACAAGAGGGGCAGGGAAAAAAAAAAAAAAAAGCTAGGCTAGGGCAAGTGGCAGCAAAGGCTGCTGCTGGTTAGGAAGAAAATGGCTGCTGAAATTGATGTTATTTAATTAAGAGGGTGCCTTAGCCTGTGTTCCCCGCTCTTTTTGCTTTTAGGGGTCTCAGTAGTGGGGCTAGGCAGTCAGACCCAGTGATGCTCTTGGGTGTGGTAGCTGCCTGTCTGTCTGGCTCCTGGAAGAACCAATTAAATGCCTCTTTGTTTAGTGATAACTGAAACGGTGAGGAAATACCGCCCAGGAGCTAGACCTCCCGCAAGTGTGAAGCACAGCTTGGCCCGATGGTACAGGCACTTTCTGGGGTTTTGATGCCAACTGCAGTGCCAGTATAGGTGATGTGTGTTTGTATGTTTATGTAGGCAAGAAAGAGTAAAACCATTATAGATGCACACAGAGAAAAATGTCCCAAAGGCTGCCAAATAAAAACCTGTAGGATGATTTTAAAATTTCCAAGACAGTAGGAATCAGTGCTGAGGGAAAAAGACAAACCTCTTACCAAATCAAAGCATTCTTACTATGGCCGGAGAAACAAGACTTTCTAAGTCATTTTTTTTGCAAATGAACAGAGTTGCATTACAGAAATGCTCATCTGCAATTCTTCTTAAAGAAAAGCTATGTGGGATTTCAAAGTCTAATTCCGCAAGTCAAAAGAGGCTGCAATGCACTGTAATTTGCTGAATCTCTTTACTCTTCCATTGGTGGAGATATAAACTATACTATTGAGAGATCCAGTGTAGCCACAGCTGAAAATGGAGCAGACTTGTTCCAAGCTAGTCCATCTGACCAGAAATGAAAATCTCTARTGCCTTTTTTAATTGTGGTATAAAGGAAGAATTTGAAAATCTTTCAGTTTTGCTTTGCATATTCCAGTTATATTGCCTCCTATTTTGTCTTGATACAGTGGATCAAATCTGTGCTATAATTTTAAGAATGGTTCTTTCTGAAATTAAGAATGCCAATGACGAAAATGAGGAAGTTAATGGTATCAGCAGGGTTTTCACCCATTTTTTTTTGTTACAAAGTTAAGGCCACAACAAAGAGACTTTAGTGTGGTACCATACTTAAAATAACTTTTAAAATATGTTTTTTTTTCCTTCTTCCTACTTCAGTTATCATGGGCTATACTCTAAGACATCAACAATTGTTTCTATTTTCAGGKTTCAAAACCAAACTGATATGGTCAGATGGTTCGCTGTACCTTGCAAAATGAAACATATATTCCTGACAGCTATTTAAACTCAACTACTTAAAGCGATGGAGCCCTAAGCTGTGCAAGGATTGGTGAAGAAGGGGTRTGTAACACTGCTGTACTTAAGGCCCTCTTTTTTTATTTTTTCCTGTGCTACCTCCAAAAGATGAATTTCGTAGATGTAACTGTGATGTCACTTGGCCGTGTATCTTGATCTTTCTTCTAGASAGTTTGAGGATAATGTCACTGCAGAGGGCAGCCGTACCACCACTGAGGATCTTATCTATGTCAGTGACTCAAAGAAAAGATTAGAATAACTTGTAATCCTCTTGTTGCTATTAAAAGTTGTTGGGTAATTTCTGATGTCATTTTTAGAAGATTTGTACCTCTATAACTCAACGAATCTAAGAAAAAATATGCCATATTGCAGTGCATGTTTGTTTCCTCTTTGCTCAGTCATGAAGTAGGTCGTGTTCTGAATTCGGATGTGCTGTAATAGATATGCAGCAGAATCCAGCCAAATGATATTCAGTGTTCAGTATCATTTGATAGTGATTATGCAGTCACAATTATTTTTCATAAAATAACATTTATAGCTCTAAAATACAGCTCTGAACACTGGCTTCATTGATGAGAATAAAAAATTAAACACAAAAGTAGCTCAGGAGAAAAYGAGTGGAGAGGAGGAGGATTCTGGATGGATTATCTTTATTTATGTTAAGAGACTTAAAGGCAGGATTAAAACAAAGGCATCAAAGGACGAGCATAATTTTCAAACAAGTAAAATGCAGTATTAGATCTGTCTGGCAACATATTGGGCAAATAAGCATGACAGCCTATTAATTACTGTRTTTGTATTACACAGTCTATAAACAATTGGAGAAGTAAGAAACACATTTTATATAATAGATAATGAAAAGCATWTCACAGGATAAAAAAAGTGCTTCTGAATGTATTGACGTACTTTCTGAATGTGCAGATGAATAGATTGTATTCTTGTCTGCCTAACATGATTTGACATTAGCGTATAGAGAAGAGAAGGAGCAGTTACTTAATTTTGGTGTTATCACTGGGAATATGTGTCCTGGTTCACAGAACACAAAATGTGCTCTTTCATTGTGAAATTGTTTTCTGTATTTATTTCTTTAAAGCAATATTACAAATGGTGAGGGCCTTGAGTATGTTTTTGTTGTGCTTTATTTAAAAAGGTAGGTTGGAATTACTTAATTGAACATTCTTGCTTTGTTAAATACTGAACTATAATACTAAAATGAATTTCATAGCAAAAGGAACACTGCAGAAAATTTATTGTTCCATAATATTTTGATAATAATCAAAAGCCATTCGGCAATTTAGAAATAAATATAGTGGAAAGCAGATGCAGCTTTATTCTTTCCACTGTTAGTCTTGCAAGATCACTGTCCCTATAGGAGTTAGTGCTCCAAGCATTTTTTTCTCTGTTGTCTGGATTTCAGAGTAACAGGAAGTCCCTCTTTCTATAAAAAACAGTTTCTTTTGGGGAAAGTCACTCTTTACATCAAATCGTTACAGGATCACCAACAGCCAAAGAATTCACCAGGCTTTGACTCCGTTTCTAAGAGTGGAACTATGTAAAAATAAGTGATTGTTAAAATGACTTAAAGATGTAGCTAATTAAATAGCTCCCATGTTGCCTGTAAGGATTTAAGTTGCACACACTAGAAACAAGGGCTATGCGCAATCTCGGATTATGAAGAGGGCTTGAGGAGGACGAAGGGATATTCAAGTGAAACGAAGAAGTAACATAAGTCATGTAGCTGAACTATAAGAAAACAATAAAATTAGCCCTTGAGAAAAGAAAAAAACTAATAATAAATCTTYTTTTGATCCTTTCAAGAGCAGGAAGCTTTCCAGAAGTCTGTTGGAACAGTTGATAAACCATGGTATTAACAGGAATACTCAACAGGTACACTACAGAGGTCATTCCAGAGAAGCTTAAGAAATGATTGTAATCAGTTTTCACCATGGAAGAAACTGGAATCATTTGTGGGGGGTTCCACATTGTGGGGGGAAAACCACAAAATTGATAACGGGTATGTGTAACCACAGTTTTAAAACTGCACTGGTAACCTGGTGTCTACGTGACAGCAAGTGGGATACTAAACTCTAGAAAGAGTCAGGTGTGATACTAACTTTTAGAAAGAGACCCGTGGAAGTTAAGAGGCATGATAGGCTGGGAAGTCTTTTCCCTCATTTGCAGATCAGCAGAAACTGTGATAGGGAACAGAATCAACAAACAGTTGGATAAATATGATCTACTGGAAAGAATCTACAGCATTTGTATAGAGAGATTCAGTGCTGAAAAGGTGACGCTTTCTGCTTTCTGTCGTCCCTTAACTTCCTCTCTTCTCAGGACTGTCGTTTCATAATTCTCTTCTATTGTGAGGTAAGCCATCCTGGCTGGAAAAAGTGATTTCAAGGGGGGTTTCTAGGATGAATGAAAAGCGCTTTGACCACTACAATTACTATCTCTCTGTCCTTGTGATAGTACCCTACTCTCAAAGCCTGAAAATGTTCTACCTGCTACCTATTTCTTTAGCAGGTTAAAAAAGAATGGATACGTACAGATCCCACACTAGATGACATAAACATTTCAGAGGGAAAATGAAGTTTTCACACACATTGCCTCTGTGATCAAAAGAAATTTTCTAGCCTTTTCTCATGGGCTCAATATAGAGTTCAGTCAATATCCCTCTCATGCTGCTCTCTTTCGTCTGTTTATCTACTTGGGTGTCATCTTGCCACATGAATAACATGGAGTCTGCTGTGCTGCCTAGGGATCTTACTTTAAAAAAAAAATCCATTTAACTCTTAGGTCCTTGTAAGATAGGAATACTGGGGCACTTCAGATATCTTTTAAAACCTTCTAATTTCCTGCAGAACCATCCTAAATCTGTGGTAGGTCTTATTTAGTGCTTGATTTCCTACACCCTGCTATTTGCTATCCACTGACCAAAGCAATATTTTTCTTCCACTGTGGCTGGAYTAAATTTCTCATAACTCCTAATTTATTTAATCAAGGACCAAGGGATGGGGGAGGTGCTGCAATCCTTCTAATTAGGGTCACAAAGGTAATGTAACTGGCAGTAGAGTGAGACTGAATCAGCTAAAGCAGTGGGGGCAATGTGCCAGGAGGTAAGACTTGGAGGTTTTAAAATGACAACCTTTCTGTGTATGATCTTCTTARAGGACCACACCTCTACCAATTCTGTATGCAGAGATACTTGCTCTTCTAAGCAAATAGGGAAAAATAAGAAGATAAAAACTACTCTGAAAACATGTTCATGTGCACAAAACAAGCCATACATCCAGTGTTGATAGAGATCTATAAATGGGTCCATAAGACTATTCTATATGTTTTTGGTTGCYGTGTACTCCCACTTAGTTCTCTAAGTTCCAAAACTCATAATCTCTTGTAATAACCTCCATTTGTTTGTCTCTGTCTTAGCTCAATTTTGTGGCCAGCCATCTGACTCTCTGCCTGTTAGAGCCTTATTTAGTCTTCAAAAGTAATGTAGGGGGAGGAATACAACCTTTCTGGTGATGCTCAGTGTGTATTTGGCTTTTCACTCTACTAGCTATTTTGACAGACCATCTGTGGCTATTCTGTTTTCCTTTCTTTAAAAAAATATATAAATAAACACAGTAATATATATGAAGAGTGATATTGCTGATTTCACAGAACAGAAGTATATTAAAATCTCCAGACACTCGCGACCCGCTGTCTCGAACAAGCAGCGTTTTGTCCGTTTTGAGGAGGGGGAGCCKTTATTGCCGTTAATTTCAAAGCGAGGCGGCAACGGTCGCCAGCYGCGCGCAGCATCACGGGAAGGCGCCGCGCGGCTGCATTGTGCGCATGCGCACACGGGTGCGGCCGCTAGGGGGTCAGCGCCCACCTCGCGCCGCCCGCCCCTTCCTGCGCACGTGACGGCGCCTCGCGCGCCAAGCGGCAGCGGGGCGGTGCTCCCGGCGTGCTCCGCGCGCGGCGCCTACAGCTCCCGGCAGGCGCCGCGCCCGCGCCGCCACCGCCCGCCCCCCAACGGCCGCGCTGCTCACGTGACCGCCGCCAGCCAATCGCGTTTGAACGTGCGCTTTTTCCCCGCCGCTGCCCTCCCCCGCCCCTTCCCCTCCCCGCGGCGCTGGTGCGGCCAGATCGATCCTAAGATGGCGACTGTGGAACCGGTGAG